GGGGACACAGAGATGAACGGGAGACATTGTCCACTCATCCCTATTCCTCCCTGCCCTCCCTTCCTCCTCTTAGGGCCCAGTCTCAGAATGCTGCACTGAGGGGGACACCAAGGTCAGACTTGTGTAGGGAAAGGCATGGCCTGAGAGCCTAGGAGTCAGAAGAGCTGGGTTCCTATTTGCCACCAACATGCTAAGTGACCTTGGGTGCTCTCTGACCTAAGTTTCCCCACTATCTCATGAAGGGTTTGGACCAGTGATGAATACCCCTACCTCGCAGGCTTTAAATTTGCCCTGAAGTCCAGTCCCAAAGGCCTGATGGCCAACTGAGGCAGTGGGGGCAGGGATGCCCACTGCGCGCCGGTACCGAGTGGCACTGCCCTGCTGACAAGCTGGCACAATTTCACATGAAACAGGGGAGCTGGATCTAAAGGCGGGTTGTTTGAAGGGGACAAGGGGGGGTGGTAGTAGGGAAAGGCAGAGCCAGCTCCCACAGGCCCTATTCATGACTTTCTCCGGGGAGGGAGAAAGAGCAGAATAATTAAACCAGCCTTTGTCTAAATCCCTGACCAAGCCAATGCCTCACCTTCAAACTTCTGTAGCCAGAAGGGCAGGGCTGACACCCCTTTGGAAGAAAAACACCAATGAAGCAAGCCAAGGCCCAAATGCTATGAGCTGGCATCTGAGGACTGGAGGTGGTAACCCACTCACCGCCACTGAATCAATTCCAACTCATAGTGACCCTATAGGAGAGAGTAGAACTGTCCCACAGGGTTTCCAAGGCTGTAAATCTTTACGGAAACAGATTGCTTCATCTTCCTCCCACGGAGTGGTTGGAGGGTTTGAACCACTGACCTTTCAGTTAGCAGCAGAGTGCTTAACCAGGGCTCCTGCTGGAGGTGGGGAGGAATAAACAACTCGCTTTCCCACCCACCAAGCACAGATGGACACCTGAGGCTTTGCTGCCCCTGAAGCTCTGGTCCCTGTATCTGCCCCACCTGAAAGACAAGCTGAGCTCTACTCAAGCTAGAAGTTGACCTTGACCTTGGCCCAGATTCAGGGTGGGACAGACCCTGGGATAAGGCCAGTCCTGAGAAACCAAATCGTGAGGGTGAGAGGATGGACCCTGGAGCCAGACTGCTGGCTGTGCTATCTGCTAACTATTTTGGCCAAGTTTTTAGCTCTCTGTGCCTCAGTGTTCTCAACAGTAAAATGGGGATAATAAGGGTATCCACCTCATGATGGTGGTGTGAGGACTACAAGAAGTAACATATATAAATCCTGGACCAGAGGAAGTGTTATCTATATCTTAGTTATTAGTTTTACTATTAAATGCTCTCCATTTAAAAAGGAAAACATTTTTCCGCACTAATTTATTTGCTTATTTGCATCCATTTGCATACTCTATCAATCCCTCTGGATTTCTCTGTCAGAATCCAACATCATCGGAATCCACCTAATACACTACAGCTGAAAGAAACTCATCTCTGTGACTCCCTAGTTCTTCCTAGAAGTTCACCTGAATATCTAGCTGCAATCCCTCATGCTGTAAAGTATTCACATTTTCCTCCTTTGTCATTTATCTCTCAACCTTATGCATCATAAAAAAAACCCTAAGTATCCCTGCAATGAAAGAAGACGTCATCATAAGTGTCTCTACCCACTCCTACCCTGTTCCTGTAACCAACGCCAGTCTTCACCCCCACTCCCATCCATGCTGAGAATACAGCACCCATGGGAGGCCAGGCAGACCTCTAGCTCCCCTTCCCTACAAAGTCAGGGGTGGCTTGAGCAGGGAGCACAGAGGTCCCCATTCTGACTTCTTAAGCATAAAGCCCCCAGGTCCAGTCCCTCCCTGCTTGGGCTGGGAGGAAACTGAGGTCTTGGAGAAAAGTCAAAATATCCAAGAGAGAAGGTTAGTGACCTGACCCCTCCTCTAAGGCCTGTGTCATTCCCACCTTCCTAATAACACCAGAAGGTTCAAACCCACCAGCTGCCCTGCGGAAGGAAGATGGAGCAATCTACTTCTGTTTAAATTCACAGCTGCCGAAACCCAATGGGGGTCACTAAGAGTCAGAATCGACTCCATGGCAGTGAGTTGTTTTTAAGTATAGTTTTGTTTTTTTTTTAAGTCAGAATCTAGGAAGATGGGGCAATCTACTTCCGTAAAGATTTACTGCCTTGGAAACCCAATGGGGGTCACTATGAGTCGGAATCAACTTGATGGCAGTGGGTTGGGTTTGGTTTTGGTTTAGTCAGAATCAAAGGAGCTCTGGCGGTGTAGTAGTTAAGGCATTTGGCTGCTAACCAAAAGGTCAGTGGTCCAAACCCACCAGCTGGTCTGTGGAAGGAAGATGAGGCAGTCTGCTTCTGTAAAGATTTACAGCCTTGGAAACTCAATGGGGGTAGCTATGAGTCAGAACTGACTCGATAGCAGTAAGTTTGGTTTGGCTTGGAGTCAGAATCAAGGAGCCCTGGTGGTGCAGTAACTATGGCAATCAGCTGCTAACCAAAAGGTCAGAGGTTCAAACCCACCAGCCACACCACGGGAGACCTGATGAGGCAGTCTGCTTCCATAAAGATTTATAGCCTTGGAAACTATGGGGTAGTTCTACTATATCCTACAGGGTCACTATGAATCAGAATCAATTCAATACCAGTGGGTTTGGTAGTCAGAATTGACTCAATAGCAACAGGTCTGGTTTTGACCCCAAAGCTTCATCATGTGCCCTATCATCAGGACACCTGGCTTCTAGCTCTGGCACTCTCACGGCAGCCCCAGACCCTCTCTGCAAAATGGGACGTTACCACCTACCCTGCCACTCACAGGAGATTTGGAAGATTGACACTATCATCACTTCCAAGGAGAGGGCAGGGCTGGGACGCAGAGACATGGAGCTGCCAGTCACTTTGGGGTGGGCCCAACCACTTTGTGGACAAGTAAGGAATAGGCTGGGGCTGGGGGCCTTTGTGCTATGTTTGGTGGTAAAATGATTGGTTATGTAATTGAACTTCAAATCGTATGCCAATGAGCACATCTCAGTGAGGGCTGGAGGGGATGTCAAACGCCATCCACCCCCAATAGACCTTGGGAGAAAGGATAGGGAGGGCAGAGGTATAGCTAAGATATAACAGGTATGGCATGTGCCTGGGGCACCACTTGAAGGGGGTGCCACTGAGCAGTTTCTATTAACTGACAGTTTCCATCCACAGCTGTGAAAGAACATTCAGCAAGCTAAAACTAATACTTGAGTATTTGAGAGCTTCCATGGGTCAGGGCTCCATGGGTTAGGAGCTCTGGTAGCATAGTGGCTAAAGCACTTGACTGTTAACCAGAAGGCTGGCGGTTCAAACCCACCAGCCACTCCTCAGAAGGAAGGTTGGGCAATCCTACTTCCGTAGTGATATTGCCTCAGAAACCCAAGGAGGGGTCGCTATGAGTCGGGTCCGACTCGACGGCACTCAGAAACCCAAGGAGGGGTCGCTATGAGTCGGGTCCGACTCGACGGCACATAACAACAACAACAAAAACATGGGTCAGGGCGGACCGTGTGTGTGATCTTGCACTGCTGAGGGTAGAAAGGCAAGAAACTGAAAATAAAATGACTTTGAGCACATCATAGGCCAGTTTTCATCAGTGAAAACAAGGAAGGCACCTTTGTAATTTTCATGTAGAGTCATAACATGTTAAGTAAAAGGTAAATAAGCTGGACTTGTATATTTGAGGAGATATTATGGTAAAGTTATCTAAAAGACAGGTGTCAGATGTTTGGACAGGGGTGTAATTTTAGTGTTTGCCACAGGCAGTATTTTCCAGATACGCCTCTGGGGGAGGTAGGGGGGTGGAGATGAAGTATGTGTTGTTGAGGGGGGGATCCAAGGGACTCATGTTTAATGACCTCCACCTCCACCCCCTGTCCATCCTGAATTTCAAGTTTATAATTAGGAAACACAGTTTAGTTGAAAGAGGGAGGGCAAGGGGGTGAGAGATGCAGATGAAGGGAGAACTCAGCACACATTCAGCTTCAGAGAACCCCAGCAGCAGGCTCAGAAAGGGTTTGCAAGGCCCAGGACCCCACCTCCAGCACTGGGGGCAGGACTGGGGAGGAGCGGCCCTGAGTCCTTCAGCCCTGTCAAGAGGAAGACGCCTCAGCCCAGGCCTTGACCCCAGACTGGACCCCAGGGAACTTCTTTTCCAAGTTCAGGAAACTTCTGGCCTGACAAGTGTTCAGCTTGGGTGGGGGGAGTGTGTGTTGAGTCCAGCAGGACTGGGCTGCGAGGCTCAGAGACAGCGAGCTGGCCTCATGGGGGCTGGGAGGCCCCTGCTGGCCCCTCCCCAGCCGCAGCAGCTGGCACATGAAAGACCCAAGCAAAGCATCCCAGCGCTGAGTAATGCCCCTGGCACCCTGCGCCCAGACCTACCCTCAGCCAGCCTGAGAGGGCAGCTGGGAGGGCAGCCACCCCTGCGGGGCCAGGGTCCGAGGCCCTGTTTCTCTTCTCTAGGACCAAAAGGAAGACTGACTCACGCTGGGCAGCCCGTCGCGCGGTCGGGCCCAGCGGGGACCAGCGTGGCACGGGCCGGGGGTGTCCGGCCGTTGTGGCCGAGGACGTCCAGCTCTGGGAACCCCTTCCCCCAAGCCCCTCCCTCCAGCTGTGCCGGGGGCCTCGCCAACGGAAAACGAAAACTCCTGCAGAGGAAACAGCGGCAGTTGCCCCGCCTGGGAAACCCGGACAAAAGGCGCGGGCCTGCCGCTCCCGCTGCCCGGCCTCCGCGGGTCTGGCACCGCCGCTCGGGTCAGTGCCCTGCCCTGGCAGTCCTGTGCGGGTCTCGGCCCCTTCCCTGCTTCCCTCCTGCGCGCCCCTCTGCCAAGGGCAGCCCTCACTGGGACCCCCTCCCCGCCCCGCCGCCAGCCCCAGCGCGTTGCCCGCGGTCCCGGTGCAGAGCCGGGTCGCCGCGACTCTGGCCTCGCCCCGCCCCCTCCCCTAGCCCACAGCGCCCTCACCTGGGGGGGCCGGGGCTCCGGGCGGGGCGGGATCCCGACCAGGCAGAAGGCGACTCCATTCATCGGGCAGCAGCGGCGGCTCTGCGGCCAGGGCACGGCTAGGGGCGCCGAGAGGGACCCGGGAGGGGCGGGGGCGGGGCCGAGCAGGGGTGGGCCCCCCCGGGGACCCACCCCTTCGCTCCTCCCCACCGCGCTGCCGACGGGGCGCACCAGCGGCCTTTGCCTGGGACCGCAGGCTCAGAAGGGCTGGGGCCGGGGTTTGCACTGACAGCGGAGCTAAAGGTTGGAAGAAAACCTGGATCCCCCTCGAGAACGGGGGTGGGGGTCTCAGGGAGACAGTTTGTGCCGGCCTCCAGGAGACCGGCCCAGATAGAAGGTGATGGGAGGAAAAAGAACAAGAACTAGCACAGAGAGAGGGAGAAAAAGAGGTGGGCTTGTCTAGAGGCCTGAGCCACTGGGCTGGCTGGGTGGGACTGAGAGAAGGGGAGAGACCGCAGGAGAGAAGCAGAGCCAAGGTAGAGACAGCAGAGCCAGGGCGAGAAGTCAGAGGCCAAGATGAGGAGACCAGGAGGGAAGAGAGGGAGAGAAAAAGGCTTAGGGGCCTTCCATTCAGAGACTCTTGGAAACTGAGGCCAAAGCTCAGAGATGGGATGTCCTTAGGGGGAGAGAGAGCACCTCCTCGGGCTCCACGCCTTTCAACCTACAGAAAGCCCGCTCCCAGGCCGGGTCTCAGCTGGGGTCCCCCAAAGGCAGAGGGATAGAGGCTGAAGGAGAGAGGCTAGCAGTGCCCTGGCCCTTCAGACGCCCACCCAGCCAGCCCAGTGGCTTGGGCCTTGGACAAGCCCACAGATCTGCTCTGCAGTTTGGGGCAGGAAGGGCCAAGAGACCTCCCAGACCTCTAGCCATAAGCTTCCCACAGCCGTGTTCTTCCAGGCTTCACTCACAGTTGGTCCCAAAGAGCCAGCAAGTCTGAGTTAGCTCATCATCTCTCTGCCCCCAAGCAGGACTGCTCCTGCCCATCCTGGACAGTCCAGGGAGGGACGGTCCCTCAGTCTTTCATTGCTATTGGAAAGTGTTCCCTGCTATCTAATCCCCATCCTATCTACTTGCTAAGGAGCTCTGGTGGCACAGTGCCTAAGGCATTGGACTGCTAACCAGAAGGTTGGTGGTTCAAACCTACCAGCCACTATGAGGAAGGAAGACTAATCAATTTCCATTTAGAGATGGGGGAAGGCCACAGACTGCTAAAAACGTGATTGGGGGAAGGGATACAACAAAAGTAGGAATGTCAATTCTGCCTGCTGGAATTGCCCACAAAACCTGGGGTAAGAGGCCTTCACCATCACCACCCCCATCCTGACAGCTGATCAGCTCCAAGTGTTCTTCATCCTGATCAAGACCAGGGCCTCTGCTCCTGTGGGGGCAGCATGGCTCAGACACCAAGTAGGCCTAGGCCGTTCCTACTCCTACTGGGGCTCCCAGCCGAAGGAAGGAGATACTGACTTGGTTTTAAATCTTATGTTTTCCTTACTTATTTTAAAGCCCCTGAAAATGGGAATGGAAAGGTATTCTCTTTTATAAATTGGGGTGTGAGTGTGTGTGCGTGTGCATGTGCGTGTGTGCGTGCAGTTATTACTCCTCTTCTTTCACTATCCCTCTTTATCTATATTATCGCAGCTGGAATTACCCTCCATTTCTGGGAAGTCCTTCCTGCTATCTAACTATAATCTGTCTTACTACCTAGATTTTTTTTTTTCTTAATCTTCAACCACATTCATGTTCCTACCTTTTTCTGTCTTGTAGCTACAGTGGTCTGAAGCTTGCTGCTACCCTGGGCCCAGAAATGGGGTGACTTCTGTAAGAGGAGAGGGGTGGAATCTGAAATCTAGACTGAACCAAAGCCATGGGGCAGGGAAGGAGGGTGGTGGCCACTGGGGTGCCCTTGGCTCACTTTTTCCAGGGCCAGTGCCCTCAGACCCCGCAGGAGGCCTGAGAGGAAATGAGCTCACACTGTGTCCGGCAGGCGCTGCTGAATTCCTCGCTCACAATGCACTGCACACACCTCCCCCACCCTCCCCCACTTCCCAGAAAGTGTGGCTCTTCCCCCACCCCACTGCCCTTCCCTACCTCTTCCTGTACCTACACCCGAACCCCCATCCTGCCCTGCCCTCCCCTCTACACCTCCTTCAGCCCCTCTTCCTCCCGTCCTTCCCCTCCATCTTGGCTCCCTATCCCAGGTCTCTCAGCATCTTACTCTCTGCTTCCCTCTATCCTTCCACCTCCCACACACCAAACTCCCTCTATCCCTGGAACACTTTCTGAGGTTTTCAGGAAATAGAGATCAAGATGGGGTATGGGTGTCCTTCTCTTAGGACCCTCCTATATACTTTGCAGGGACTCCTCCTCCCCTTCTTTCTAAACACACCGCCACCCCAATCACCTTTCTTCACTCACAGGAGCTTATTGGGAGCTCCCAATATGTGTAAGAAGAGTTAGGGGGTTGTGGGAAGGGAGGGAAGGAGGTTGCCACTGGGGATGTAGAGATAAGGCCCATCTCCTTCCTTTGAAAAGTCCTAGTCTCACCAAACCATGACTCTCTAGTGAGATCCCAGAAAAGGAGCAATTGACCACTGGAGAACAGAGGAAGGCCTTCAGCAGGAGATGACATGGAGCTTGTTGGGTCTTCAGGGACCTGGAGTGGATGAGGAGGGGCGTGGGGGGGAGGACACTAAAGGGGAAAAGACCACCAAGGACAAAGACAGGGAGGCAGGGAAGAGCAGACACCAAGGGTAGAGTGGAGGGTAGATGGGGCAGGAAGTGTGAGATGAGGCAGGGATGTGACATGGAATGACTCAGCCTGAAGCACTTAAATTCTATTCCAGCTTGGGGCAGGGAGTTCAAGTGGACATGTATCATGGCCGTTCTGGCATCACGTGGGAGAGATCAGAGGAACAGGATGGGCAGCAGGAGCCCCAGAGTAGGGTACTGCATCAGGCTGGGGCAACATCAGAGGCCTCTAGAACAACTCCAAGGTTTCTGACTCCAATAATTAGGTACATTGGTTGTCTAGGGTGTTGGCAGTTGTCTAGGAGAAGCTACATGCTGTGAATTATCCCAACTGTTGTTGTTAGGTGCTGTCAGGTAGATTCTGACTCATAGCGACCATGGGCACAACAGAACAAAGTGCTGCCCAGTCTCGCACCATCCTCACAATGCCTGCTACGCTTGAGCCCATTGCTGCAACCACTGTGTCAGTCCATCTCTTGAGGGTCTTCTCCTTGTTCACGGACCCTCCACTTTACCAAGTGCAATACCCTTCTCTAGGGACCAGTCCCTTCTGACAACATGACCAAAGTAGGTGAGACAAAGTCTGGCCATTCTCACTTCTAAGGAGCATTCCGGCTGCACTTCCTCCAGGGCAGATTTGTTAGTTCTTCTGGCAGTCCATGGTATTTTCAGTATTCTTCACCAACACCACAATTCATCTTTGGTCTTCCTTATTCATTGTCCAGCTTTCACATGCATATGAAGTGATTGAAAATACCATGGCTTGGGTTAGGCTCACTTAGTCTTCAAACTGACATCTTTGCTCTCCAATACTTTAAAGAGGTCTTCTGCAGATTTGACCAGTGCAATACGACATCTGATTTCCTGACTGTTGTGTCCATGAGTGTTGGTTGTGGATTCAAGTATGGAAATTTTTGAAAATTTCAATCTTTCCACTTACCATGATGTTGCTTATTGGTCCTTATCCCAATTCAGCCTTATAAAATAGATCCTATTACAATCCCTATTTTAGGGATGAGGAAAATGAGGCCCAGAGAGCTCAATAATCTTACCCAAGGTCACACAGGATTTGAGCCCAGGCATTTGGGCTCCAGAGTCCACTCTCTTAACTCTGCAGGCTATGCTGCCAGTGGAATAGCAATTGGCAGTTTAAACCCCAGGTCATGTCTCAGAAGAGAGCCCTGAACTAGAGACCTGGCTTTGGAAGTCATTGATGGTCACTGAGACCAGGAGTGTGGTTGATTCTCCAAGAACAGCATACAGTGAGAGGAGCCAGACAGAGGACAATATCCCAAAGGAGGATTCAGTGAGGAAGACTAAGAGGAAGCAGGCAAGATAGTAGAAGAAAACCCATGCTTTCCTCTATTGGGCAGAAAGAGCACTTTCAGGGCATCAGTGGGGGTGGAGACCAGACTGTGGTGGCAAAGAGGGACAGGACACAAGGAGGTGGAGTCTGACCTACTGAGAATGCAGGAAAAGACAGCTGGACAGAATTGGTGACTTGTGGACAAGGCAGGTTTCCATTGTGTAGTGGGGACTTGAGCATGTTTTATGGCTGAAGGGTAGGAAAAAAGGAAGCAAGCACCTGAGGGCACAGGAGGAGAGGGTGATGGGTGGAGGAAGAGGATCTAGAATCTGGGGGGCCAGAGGGGAACCCTCTTCTCCAGGGGCAGAGAAGGACTAGAAGGGGAAGTCAGGGAATCCCCAGGCAGAGCAGTCCAGGGTTGGGATCAGGCCTGGCTGAGGAGCCAGCAAGGGGTCACCACGGTGTCATCAAGAGAGCACTGAATGGAGAGGCTGAGACCTCGTTTCAAGTTCCCATCATTCCCATCTGGGAGCTGTATGACCCTGAGAAAAGTACATTCTTCGAATCTCAGTTTCACCTTCTGTAAGATGAAAACAAGAAGGCCTTCTCCGCCTGCCTCCAATTTGAGGCTCACATTTGATAATAGTTTCAAAGTGCTCTGTAAGCCAAGGATGAAAACACTTAATTTGTGGGTGGTGAGTTAGAGGGCAGGTGGCCATAACTGTCCACAGCTTCAAGGCCTTCCAACAAAGGGGAAAGAGCGCCCCCTGGTGGAGGAGGGCAGGAGGGCAGGGCCACAGGAGAGAGCTGGCTTTCAGCCCCCAGGGCCATCAGCTCCTTCCTCAAAGGGAACACCACGCCCACTCCAATTTGTCATCTCCAGAGCTGGTGAGGGCCCAGCTCACAAAAGGCAATGGATGTTTATTGGGTGCTGTTGTGTGGCACAATGTGGTAGGACAATGAACCAAGT